AATCGGCCAGTGTGATAATAAAAAAAAAAAAAAAATGAGGAGTATTCTGAAGATAATAAATATAACCTGTTAATGAAGTTTTAAATTACTTTTTCAGTACTGTGTCAAGATTAACTACAACTGTATAACTTTAAGATCTTATTAACCCTTTCAAGGTCGGGACCCCTGCTTTCAAACTTGCTCTCAGGGTCGGAAAATTAAAACAATTATTTTTTCTTATGAAATAGTAGAGACTCTTTTTATAGAGAGAGGGACACCACTTCCTGGTAAAAGTAGGTCTTAGACAGGGATGTGTAATGTCACCATGGTTGTTTAATATATTTATAGATGGGGTTGTAAAAGTAGTAAATGCTAGGGTGTTCGGGAGAGGGGTGGGATTAAATTATGGGGAATCAAATACAAAATGGGAATTGACACAGTTACTTTTTGCTGATGATACTGTACTTATGGGAGATTCTAAAGAAAATTTGCAAAGGTTAGTGGATGAGTTTGGGAATGTGTGTAAAGGTAGAAAGTTGAAAGTGAACATAGAAAAGAGTAAGGTGATGAGGGTATCAAATAATTTAGATAAAGAAAAATTGGATATCAAATTGGGGAGGAGGAGTATGAAAGAAGTGAATGTTTTCAGATACTTGGGAGTTGACGTGTCGGCGGACGGATTTATGAAGGATGAGGTTAATCATAGAATTGATGAAGGAAAAAAGGCGAGTGGTGCGTTGAGGTATATGTGGAGACAAAAAACGTTATCTATGAAGGCAAAGAATGGAATGTATGAAAGTATAGTAGTACCAACACTCTTATACAGTGGACCCCCGCATAGCGAACGCCTTGCATAGCGAACAATCCGCATAGCGAACGCTTTGTTCGCTAAAATTTTGCCCCGCATAGTGGACAAAAACCCGCTCAGCGACCTTCGTCCGAGACGCGTCCAATGTGCGCCCTCAGCCAGCCTCACATGTGCCGCCCGTCCCATTGTTTACCAGCCAGCCTCCGCGGTAACATTCAAGCATACACTCGGAATATTTCGTATTATTACAGTGTTTTCGGTGCTGTTTGTGGAAAATAAGTGACCATGGGCCCCAAGAAAGCTTCTAGTGCCAACCCTACACCTCAAAGGGTAAGAATACCCATTGAAATGAAGAAAGAGATCATTGATAAGTATGAAAGTGGAGTACGTATCACCGACCTGGTCAGGTTGTACAAGAAACCAAAATCAACCATCGCTTCTATTGTGGGCAAGAAAACGGCAATCAAGGAAGCTGTTGTTGCCAAAGGTTTAACTGTGTTTTCGAAACAAAGATCGCAAGTGATGGAAGATGTTGAGAGACTCTTATTGGTGTGGATAAATGAAAAACAGCTAGCAGGAGATAGCGTCTCTCAAGCGATCATATGTGAAAAGGCTAGGAAGTTGCATGACGATTTAATTAAAAAAATGCCTGCAACTAGTGATGATGTGAGTGAATTTAAGGCCAGCAAAGGTTGGTTTGAGAGATTTAAGAAGCGTAGTGGCATCCATAGTGTGATACGGCATGGTGAGGCTGCCAGTTCGGACCACAAAGCGGCTGAAAAATATGTGCATGAATTCAAGGAGTACATAGAAACTGAAGGACTGGAACCTGAACAAGTGTTTAATTGTGATGAAACAGGCCTGTTCTGGAAGAAAATGCCAAGCAGGACCTACATTACTCAGGAGGAAAAGGCACTCCCAGGACATAAGCCTATGAAAGACAGGCTTACTTTGTTGATGTGTGCCAATGCTAGTGGTGATTGCAAAGTTAAGCCTTTATTAGTGTATCACTCTGAAACTCCCAGAGCGTTCAGGCAAAAGAATGTCCTCAAGGATAATTTGTGTGTGCTGTGGAGGGCAAACAGTAAGGCATGGGTCACTAGGGAATTTTTCTATAACTGGTTACACCATGCATTTGCCCCCAATGTGAAAGATTACCTAACTGAAAAGAAATTAGACCTTAAGTGCCTCCTGGTGTTAGACAATGCCCCTGGTCATCCTACAGACGTGGCAGAGCGACTTTATGGGGACATGAGCTTCATTAAGGTGAAGTTTTTGCCTCCTAATACCACTCCTCTCCTGCAGCCCATGGACCAGCAGGTCATTTCCAACTTCAAGAAACTGTACACAAAAGCTCTGTTTCAAAAGTGCTTTGAAGTGACCACAGACACTCGATTGACTCTAAAAGAGTTTTGGAAGGATCACTTTAATATCCTCAATTGTGTAAACCTTAATAGGTAAGGCTTGGGAGGGAGTGACTAAGAGAACCTTGAACTCTGCTTGGAAGAAACTGTGGCCAGAATGTGTAGACAAAAGGGATTTTGAAGGGTTTGAGGCTAACCCTGAGAGGAGTAGTATACCAGTTGAGGAATCAATTGTGGAATTGGGGAAGTCCTTGGGGTTGGAGGTTAGTGGGGAGGATGTGGAAGAGTTGGTGGAGGAGGACAATGAAGAACTAACCACTGATGAGCTGATAGATCAACTTCAAGAGCAAGAGGCCAGACCTGGGGAAACTGGTTCAAAGGAGGGGAGAGAGAAATTGAAGGAATTGCCTACTTCAAAGATTAAGGAAATGTGTGCAAAATGGCTTGAAGTGCAAACCTTTTTTGATGAAAATCACCCTCACACAGCTATTGCAAGCCGTGCTGGTGACTGTTACAATGACACTGTTGTGAACCACTTTAGACAAATCATAAAGGAACGAGAGGTACAGGCCACTATGGACAGATATGTTGTGCGAAAGAAGTCCAGTGACTCTGAAGCTGGTCCTAGTGGCATTAAAAGAAGAAGGGAAGTAACCCCAGAAAAGGACTTGCTACCAATAAAAGTAAGTGTCATGTAAAATGTGCATCCTTTTTTCATCGTTTGTTGTGTCACTACAAATTAACATTTTTTTGTGGTAAAAAAATTTTTTTCATACTTTTGGGTGTCTTGCACGGATTAATTTTATTTCCATTATTTCTTATGGGGAAAATTAATTCGCATAGCGAAAATTTCGCATAACGACCAGCCCTCTTGCACGGATTAAGTTCGCTATGCGGGGGTCCACTGTATGTGTGTGAAGCTTGGGTTGTGAATGCACCAGCGAGGAGGCGGTTGGAAGCAGTGGAGATGTCCTGTCTAAGGGCAAATGTGTGGTGTAAATATTATGCAGAAAATTCAGAGTGTGGAAATTAGGAGAAGGTGTGGAGTTAATAAAAGTATTAGTCAGAGGGCTGAAGAGGGGTTGTTGAGGTGGTTTGGTCATTTAGAGAGAATGGATCAAAGTAGAATGACATGGAGAGCATTTAAATCTGTAGGAGAAGGAAGGCGGGGTAGGGGTCGTCCTCGAAAAGGTTGGAGGGAAGGGGTAAGGGAGGTTTTGTGGGCAAGGGGTTTGGACTTCCAGCAGGCTTGCATGAGCGTGTTTGACAGGAGTGAATGGAGACGAATGGTATTTGGGACCTGACGATCTGTTGGAGTGTGAGCAGGGTAATATTTAGTGAAGGGATTCAGGGAAACCGGTTATTTTAATATAGCCGGACTTGAGTCCTGGAAATGGGAAGTACAATGCCTGCACTCTAAAGGAAGGGTTTTGGGATATTAGCAGTTTGGAGGGATATGTTGTGTATCTTTATACGTATATGCTTCTAAACTGTTGTGTTCTGAGCACCTCTGCAAAAACTGATTATGTGTGAGTGAGGTGAAAGTGTTGAATGATGATGAAAGTATTTTCTTTTTGGGGATTTTCTTTCTTTTTGGGTCACCCTGCCTCGGTGGGAGACGGCCGACTTGTTGAGAGAAAAAAAAAAAAAAAAAAAAAATTGATGGGAAACTGACGAAATTACGCTTTAGCAAATTTTGCAGTCATCGATATTTGTGCATCAGTGATTTCGTCAACTTTCAGTCTAATTTTAGGCCATTTCCATTGTTCCAGTTGATCTAATTCTTAGCTACTTCACTAGCATGGCTTCCATTCTATCAAATGACTACAAGAAACTGCCCATTCAACTATTTAAACTACCCAATGAAGTGATCAGAAAGTGGTAATTTGGCCAATTTCACACAAAATTCAAGAAATGCCAATTTCAAAATAGAGTCCAGAATAAACAATGCAGATATTCCTGGCACTAAAATAACATTTCCTCTGTTCATCAGTCACGTCCCCAGGCCTCTCCTATATTACGCTTACGCTTGCTTTCCATTTTGGATTTTTATTCATACAAAAAAAAATTTAATATTTACCATTATGCATTCTATTGCATTATTGTAATAATTGTATAAATTATGTCAGTGAATTTCTAAATGCATATCAGAGTGGTCAGCTGGATGCATATTGAACGAGTGACCTCATTTGTGTACTCTGGAATATTGGCAAAAATCAAACAATTCTGCCACTTTGAGCTCAATTTCAAACTACTTTCAGTCCTGAAACCAATCAAAATCATGTGTACTTCTGTGACGTATTTTCCATTCTATCAAATGAGACCAAAGAAATGAGAATACAACCATACAAAAATACACCACAAAGTTGCTGTTTTAATCCAAAAACACCATCAGTTTTTTTTTACTGTTACGTACTGCATGGTGCAGGACTTTGTTTTTATATGGTGCACACTTACTGCAAAGATCCATTCTCTCATATCTAGACCCATATTTACTGCTCACAGCTTATCTGAGTGAGTAGAGCTCATAGCATATGCTACAGGACAGACCTTGGCTTGAAAGCCGTAGTACAACAGGACCCACCCTCAAAGGGTTAATGTTATCCCTCTATGGATAAATTGAGAAGTATCCTTTCTCCATAAGCCATGCATGTTGAAAGAGGTGACTAAATTGCCAGGAGCAAAGTGATAGTAACCCCTTCTCTGTAAAAACTACTAAATGTAAAAATTCTCAGTAGAAGATGGCCGGCATATTAAAAAAAAAAATTATTTATAATACCCCCATGAAGTACAGAACATCTGATGATAGGAAGATACAAAGCTAAAATGTAAGGCTTTAAACACCTAACCTTTTGATTTCTTAAGTGAAGAGCCAGATGTAGTAGAGAACGTGTTGGATGTAAGTGAAATGGTGCTTCCATGCCGCCGAAGACCCTCACTCTCCAAGTACTAAAAGAAAACAGTTGATTTATACATGCCTGTGTATATATTCATTTAGACCTCTGATGTGCAACTACATATTAAAATGTGTTTGAAAAGTAAAGAGCTTTCAGCAAGAGTGGAAGTTACTGTATATGCTTATAATTTCTGCCTTACATCAATTTACCAAAATCATGTACTCTAAAATGATATATTATGGTCATATGGACTATTTTACAACAACTTCCAAATTAAGTGCAATGGATATAATATACTGTATTTCATCTTCATAAAGGAAGAGGTCTCCCTACCTTGTGCTGTTCAACCGCATCTACCCACTGATGCTTCTCTTCTTCAGTATTTGTCCGCAAGTACCATACACAGTCATTCAAGCACACATCAAACCGGCACTCGTCTATCTCATGGGGCTGAAAGTCGAAATAAAATAATTTTTGAAAGTTCTTGTGCTGAACAAATACATAAATATTTTTGCAAGACAAGTGATCAATTAATGCATTTGCAAAATTCTGAGCAGAGACTTATAACATACAGTAGGGCCCTGCTTCATGGCGTTTCACCTTACGACGTTCTGCTAATACAGACATTTCAAATTATGACCAAAACTCGCAATATGGCTCCCCCCCCACCTGTCTTTCTAATATGGTCACCACGCCCCCACCCCATTTGCTTACCTTCTCTGTATACTCCGTGAGCACTGCGTCTCTCCATTATATCTGGAAACTTTAAAAATTTCAAGTATTTTAAAGTTATTTCATGTATTCTGATAATTATACTTGTGTGTACCTGTACCTAAATAAACTTACACACTGTGCTGGCATGCAGATACACATTAAAATCACTAAGAATGTCTTATTAGTCTTGAGGATGCCATATTAATGATAATAATACACAATAATAATCACTGAGGCGCATAAAACATTAAGACTACAAATATTTTAAAATAATGAGCATACTGTATATGATTTTATTGCTCCGGGGCGCTTTAAATGTCATAGTACATATATTACGTGTGTGTGGGGGTGGTCTGGCCTGGCTGGCTGCCTTACCTCCCACACCTGACTTCTTACAATAAATACTACTCACCTCTCACCCTACATTAACCCTTAAACTGTCCAAACGCAGATTTACGTTCATGTACGTAGCACTCCCAACGTAGATCTACATATTTTTTACACAAGAAAGCATGTAAGATCGAACATAGATCTATGGTCGGAGTGCTACGCACATGAACGTAGATCTACGTTTGGACAGTTTAAGGGTTAAGACTACAAATATTTTAATGTAAGTAATGAGTGTACTGTGTGTATATTTTACTTTTTATTGTTTTTAATGCCTAGTTCTATTGTTATCTTAATATATGTTAGTGTAAACCTGTAATCTGGCATTTATATGTATTTATAAGTGGAAAAATGGCATTCTGCTCTCGGGCGATGTCCGCTTTCCGCCAGTAGCCTGGAACCTAACCTGCCATAAAAGTGGGGCCCTACTATATAGGGTAGGGGGAGGGAGTATAGAGAACTGAAATGAAAAAGAGTGTACCCACATTTCTATTGCGGGGCTTCCCACACATTTCACTAACTTCAAAAAATGCCAACACAACATTATTTGAAGGCACCTGACAGAGGTTAGACAACTTGCTTATGTGTCAGATAAAGGTAACCTAGTTAAAAAAAATTAGGTAAGACTGTAATGGATAGGGAAATAGCATTTACTTTACTGAACAACAAAAGGCATAGGGTATTTTTATATTACAATAAATATTTTTATATATACTGTATCTCATGGCATGACTTGTGTTTATTCCTCAATAGTGTACAATGTATATGATAAAAAGAACCTAATAAAAAAATTTACAAAATTAATATTAATAAAATTGCACCACATTATTTATAAAATGATCTGGTTCTTGAGATTTCTGGTTAAATGAAGTTGTGTGGAACATAATTCATCCCATCCCGTTATAGTTAATACCATACACACATTTATCACTCCTCACTTTATAAAACTGTACATACTTAAAAAGAAAATTCTCTGTATCACTCATAAGAGGTGAAGAATAGGGTTTTTGGGCAGCCATTATACTGCTCAAAGTGTAAAGTAAAAATAGCAAACATGTAAACAATTGGAAACATACAAATATCGGGTATAATTTTTATTAGATATTCATTAACCCTTTGAGGGTTTCGGACGTACTAGTACGGCTTACGACCCAGGGTTTTTGACGTACTAGTACGCCTAAATTCTAGCGCCCTCAAATCTAGTGGGAGAAAGCTGGTAGGCCTTCATGTGAAAGAATGGATCTATGTGGTCAGTGTGCACAGTCTAAAAAAAATCCTGCAGCACACAGTGCATAATGAGAAAAAAAAAACTTTGACCATTTGTTTTGGAATAAAACAGCGACTTTGCAGTGTATTTTCGTATGGTATTTATTGTTGTATTCTAGTTTTCTTGGTCTCATTTTATAGAATGGAAGACATTACAGAAATTGAGATGATTTTGACTGGTTTTACAATGAAAGATACCTTGAAATTGAGCTCAAAGTAGCAGAAATGTTCGATTTTTACCAAATTTCAAAAGTAAACAAATCGTGCCAAGCGTGCAATACACGTCAACTGGTGAGTCTAATAGTCTTTCACAAGTGCACCAACAATATTTATACCATTTCTTACCCTAATGCAGTAGTCTGCATAACAGTAAATCTTATTTTTTTGTGAGAATAAAAATTCAAAGTGGAAAGCAAAAGAATATAAGAGGGGCCTTGAGACGTGACTAATGACCAGAGGAAATGTCATTTTAGTGCCAGGAATGTCTTTCTTGTTCTTTCTGGACCCTATTCGGAAATTGGCATCTTTTGAAATTTGTGGGAAATTGGAAAAAATTGCTAAATTCTGACCACTGTACTGGATAGTTGAATTTCATAAATGGGTGGTTTCTTGCACCCATTCGATAGAAAAAATGGAGTTCTAGCGAAATATTCATGTTTTTTGTCGACTAGTACAGTGGAGTTGGCCGAAAATGGGGCTCAAAGTGGGCAAAATCGCCGATGCGTAAACATCGCCGAGACCGCTAACTTTGCGAGAGCATAATTCCGTAAGTTTTCCATCAAATTTCAAACTTTTGGTGTCCTTATGATCGGGAAAAGATTCTCTATCTTTTCATAAGAGAAAATAATTTTTTTTTTTTAAATTTGGCCGACCCTGAGAACGAGTTTCGGAGAGGGCCTGTCGACCCTCAAAGGGTTAATATTAAAAGGTGTATTTCAAAAGAATGTTAGCATTTTCAATGATAAACTTGATAATTTTGTATATACAGCAGTACTGTATAACACTAGTGGCAACTGCAACTCCTTTTATATAGTTAAGATACTTACCTGCTTTATAACTTTTAAATCTAAACAATAATTATCACAACGACCCCAATGGAAATAAGCCACCCTGTCTGACTTTTTTGGGTTATCCTAGGTTCTCTACACATATGCTCCTATGTACGGTAACCAATGTAACTGTACCTGAATAAACTTACTTACAGTACTTTGCCACAAAAACAAGTTTACATGAAGAGGTAAAACACTGCCTATAGTAGACGAGTATTTTTATGGTTACAATCACTGCAGATGTTAAACATATAAAGAGTGTTGCATCTTAAATACTAATGGTACAAGATGGTGACACATTAGAGAGAACTTGCTCGTAAACAAGATCCTAATTTCTGGTAAGTGTTGCGCCTTATTCGATTATGTCGTGTATTCAATGAAAAAGTTGTACTTTAACTGGAAACTGAAACTAAAGAATAGGAATCTGGAATATATTCATGTACAGGAGTTATGCAAGGGCATGATTATGGACATGTGCTGTAACATGGGGATATTGCAAATTTATACACTGAGGAATGAAGATACTAATATGGTATTGTACTAATATTTTTAAAATTCAAGAATACTGCCAATTAATAAAGAAATGTTAGTTAATAGAATAAAGCAACTGTCTACCTTCTCACCTCCAGGTCACAGATGTGTCCATGAAAAATAACATGAAAAGTATCACTATGAAAAAAATTATTAGATTTCACTCAAACACACTAGGGAATATACCTGGTATTCACACCTGTACTACAAAATATAGTGAACACTGAAATTGCAATAAAGAAGGTATAAACTTGTTACTAAAATCAACTATTCACTCAGAGATATAGAGTTCAATTGCTTACATCATCTATTCAAGCCAAAACAGCAAACAACTGGCAACTCTTCCATCAGTTTATGTTTTAAAAGGTTTATTCTTTTTATTTACAAGTAAAAAACAACAAACTTCAATCATCCAATACTCCCATTATTTGTGCCATAACATTACAGCAATACACAATATGAGTCCAGCATCAGGACTAATTATAAATAATGAAGACATGGTAACTGCATGAGCTCAGTCAGGGTCACATGTTTCTAAGTTCTACTTGTCATGTGAGAAATACCAGTCAAATGTCTATATGTGTGTGTAACATTAATTTAATACCATTTACATAGGGCACAAGAGAAATAAATCGCATCAGTATTATATACATACTATACTGCTAATCATGTAAAGCACATATTACATCTTTACTCAAGTGCAATACTTCACTTGTTATAAAACTACAGCCACTTCAGATTTTAGGTTACTCAAATTGAAATGAAATTATATAATGAAATAAATAAAAAAATTGCCATACTGTAATATTTTCCAGACCTGTGACAAAATCACCCATTTAAACATGAGCACATTAGATAGACAAGTGCTGCAGAAAGCCTACTGGCCCATATTAGGCAGATCCTTCTCAAACCCAACTCTTCTCACTCATACTACATTACCTGTACACTATTTACTACATTACATTATTTATACATTACATATATTGTATTAAAAAATTTTATTTTACCTCAATAGCTATTTACAATCACAGAAAGGTGTCCCAAACAGGAAAATACATTCACCAACATTTATTCATTCGCTGTCTTTCCAGAAGTGTGCTGTCATCAGAGTGCAGATTACCATCCAATTGCAACATTACCATCCTTCCTTCAGAGTGCAGACACTGCCCTTCCCACCTTCAGGACTCAAGTCAGTTAGCTGTTTCTGTAAATCCCTTCAAGAAGATCATCTTCCTCACACTCCAACAGCACATCCACTAAAAACTACTTGTCTCCATTCACTCCAATTTAGCACTGCTGGATGCTCAAGCACCTAAAATTCAGTCTCTTTTACTCTTTCTCTCCAACCATTCCTGGGATATCCTCTACCCCTCCTGCCTTCAGATACACCCCTTTTAGCTTTGCTTCACTTAATGCTAGAGCACCATTTTTTTCATTCATAATATTAACAAGTCTTTCTTATCTGTGCTAAACATATGCACATCCAAACACCTGTTTCAAAATTTTCTTCATCAGCATTTTAATAATTAAATACAGAAGGGGTTACCAACTCCTTGCTCTCTTTTGCAACATGGCTTACAAGGAAAGAATTCAAGTGTTTCATCTCTAATGCAATAAATTATACCTACATACATCCAAACACCACAGTTTTGCGACACACATGACTTACGAGGGAAGATTTCTAGTGCAGTATTTCCACTGCAATAAATTACATTATTTATACATTACAGAAGTTCTTTCTACTCTCACCACTGTCGATGACCAAGCTTCTTTGATTATTAACTAAGCAAATACAGAATTTTGCCACTTCCTATATACGCAACAAAATAAACTCATATACTGTATTCCTATGTCAACAGTTTTCGAACTAAAATGATGCTTACCTTTACATGAGCTTTCTGAACACTTATGGAACCTCGACAACCAAACGCTGTTTCATCTGGATTCCTGTAGTAGCTCATGGTGCCATCTTTTAGCACCATATATCTGTTCTGCCATCCATGAATATAGTTGGTCCATTTTGACACTGTACCCTGTAAACAAAATTTTAAAAAAGGTAACAACATAACTACATATCATTTTACTATTGTATATTAATGCACATTAGTAAAATGCATGATGCAATTCCCAATTAAGTAATATTTTGAGAGAGCAATTAAGGTAATCTAGCTAGTACAGATACAGAATAAAAGTTGAAACTGGGAATCGAATAAAAGAATGCTGTTAAATACTGATGGCACTTTTCTGATGGGCAAAGAGAGATGGGGACAAAAGGTCATTCAGTGCTCTGTGCATTAGAAAAAGTCACACTTGCATACATACTAATTATATATCTTGTTTGTAGTTCTCAAAGAACTTGCCTGTGTTGCAATGGAAAGAAAGCAAGCTTTATTTGTGTTAAATAAACAGGTGTTCTTACAGAATGCTGCTTTAAATTCGTACATTTACACTGAGCACATGATTACCATAGACATACAGTTGTGATAATTTAAAATTAAATTTGTTTGTAGGTTATTCCTTTCCAAGAGTTTTATCCACTTTAATTACTTTTTCCAATATTTTTACAAATGTCAGCAAAACTGGCCTGTAATTTAAGGGGTCTTCCCTGTTACCTTTCTTAGATATTGGACAATGTGTGCCACTTCCATTGCTTTGCCAGTTTACCTTCTTGTAGTAAAATTTCAAAACATTCTGAGAGTGGATAACCCGGTTCTTCACATTTTTTAATAACCATTTTGCTATCTTATCTGCTCCTTTGCTGGGGGTCAACATCCATTAAAAATGTCTTACATTATAAAGACATACATGCAACACTTAAGCATCTTTGTTAAAACATTTTGCCTGTGCACTAGACTCCTCAGTCAAACACAGGTAATTATGACACTGCAGACAGAAGTGGAGAGGTAATTTTGAGGTGATCAGTCTCCCAGCCTTGATAAGTGGCTAGTCCCTAATTTCCGTCTTATGAATTTCCTACATACAGAATATCCTGTTCTGTACACACAAGAACAGTGGAGCTTTGCAGTATGCCTATTGGCCCATGTTAGGCAGGTTCACCTCACCCAGCACACCCACCCAATCACATCTATTTAACACAGTGAAACTTTTTTAGTATTTTCTATTTAGTATGCATATACATACTAAGTTCCTTAGAGGGTTTTTCTAATCAAAATGGTAGCAACAGTAGTAGCGTGAACAGTTTAAAATAAAGAGCAAACAAATAGGTAACTTTTATTTAGGTTAATGGAACAATTTTAAAAAACTGCTGTTTAAAATTTCTAAATTGTTTACAAGAGGCATATGGTTATATAAACCTACAGCGATGAATTGTGATTTAATGTGAGAAGTGCATGATTGCAGTTATGAAGTATTCGTGTCATATTAATGTAGTTAGGAGATAAGAGGGGCTACTGTCACCTGTAGTTCTGTAGGCTGTCTACCATAGGCGTAGTGGTGGTATTGGGCATCTTCCTCACTGTCTTCATCACTCAGCGTCACACTGCCGTAGTCCTCAGACATCTTGCTGCTTCTTACGCCGTCACACAGATGCCTAAATGCTCCGACTCCACTGGCACTGGTGTGTCATGAGTATAATCCGCCTTGTTTGTGTTACACCTGTCTGATAGTAACCAAACAAATTCCGTCCCCACAAAAATAGTGGTAACAGAAAAGCATCAACCAAGTTAATAGAATCTAATCAAATGCAGCAACTGCTGTATCTAATACCACTACTGTCTCTTAGATCCCCCAGAATGACAACGACACATTGTACTTATACTGACAGAATTACAAAAGACAACATACGTAAAATAAAAAAAAAGTTTCTGTGTAAACTAGCAATTATTTATTATCAAGTTAGAATAATGATCATAATTTTGTTCCTTGCCTTGTTTAGAGAAGAAGTGTTGATTGAAAGACAGCGACACCAAATAATCATTTTGGAAGATGATTACTGACAAAAGAACAAATAACAAGGAAAAATTTTTAACTGATAATAAATGCGGTGTGGCACAATGATAGTGAGGAAATACTTCCTTCAGAATAACTTCGTTAGTGAGACTTTAGTCGTCATGGCACCAATTTTGAGTACCAAGTAGCTCAGTGATTTTTTTTTTTTCAATTTTTAATATCATCATCTACACTACAGTGTGCAGATACCTTCTACAAATAAAGAATATTTCCAGTAAATCTGGAGTTTAAGATAAGATTTCGTTAGGATTTTTAACCCCGGAGGGTTAGCCACCCAGGAAAGTCAGTGTGTCATCGAGGACTGTCTGTCTTATTTCCATTGTGGTTCTCAGTTTTGTCCCCCAGGATGCGACCCACACCAGTCGACTAACACCCAGGTACCTATTTGCTGCTAGGTGGTGAACAGGACAACAGGTGTAAGGAAACACGTCGAAATGTTTCTACCCCGCCGGGTATCGAACCCGGGATCTCCGTGTGTGAAGCGAGAGCTTTGTCCAATATAAAACTCCCAGATAGACTAATAATGCTATTACAAAATACGGTTGTGCAATATAACACAAATATGAGTACCCAGTTTCTTCACTGTACTGTAATATAATTGTACAGTGCTCATGTGAAGGCATAAACAATTACACTGGCTAGGATATAATTATTATTCCTGACCACGCAGTAATGATACCTGGAGAGGGTTTCGGGGGTCAACGCCCCCGCGGCCCGGTCTGTGACTAGGCCTCATGGTGGATCAGAGCGTGATCAACCAGGATGTTACTGCTGGCCGCACAACAACCCGACGTACGAACCACAGCACGGCTGGTCAGGTACTTTAGGTGCCTGATCACTGCCTTCTTGAAAACAGCCAGGGGTCTATTGGTAATCTCCCTTATGTATGCTGGAAGGCAGTTGAACAGTCTTGGACCCCTGATACTTATTGTTGTCTCTTATTGTACTAATGGCACCTCTGCTTTTCATTGGGGGAATGTTACACTGTCTGCCGAGTTTTTTGCTGTCATAGGGAGTTTCGTGTGCAGGTTTGGTACTAATCCCTCTGTTATAATTGTTCTATCTTGCTTGGTGGTGACCTAAATACATGAGGATTATATATTGTAGAACTTTTTTAGTTTAGTTTCTTAGGTTAAACCCTGTCGACTGTATATGGGCCAATAAGGCTGTGTCATTCATTTAATGAATAACATCAAGAATACTGGAGTTCTTAAGTAAATTCATCTCTCAGAGTATATCCCTCTCACTGTACAACTTTCGCTGTATATATTTCACATTGTATATATCCTGTAAATTTTCTGCAGTGATGAACGTAATAACCTTACTTCTCCAGCGGTGGATATGGGGATGACAAGTTTTTGTTTACACTGCTGTGATTGGCCAAGTGTCTTACACAGCTTAAAACTAAATGTTAATAGGCTTTGATGTGCCATTTATGCCAAAACGAATGTATTATTTTTATTAACATCTTCCAAAACAGCCATTTGCTCAATAATTCGGGTGTACGCAAATACGGTTACATAGATTATCATACATAGCTGCTCGTGTGTGTATGTATACTCGTGTGTGGTGTGTGAACTCACCTATTTGTGTACTCACCTAATTGTACTCACCTAATTGTGGTTGCAGGGGTCGAGACTCATCTCCTGGCCCCACCTCTTCATTGATCGCTACTAGGTCATCTCTCTCTCTCTGCTCCCTGAGTTTTGCCATACCTCGTCTTAAAACTATATATGGGTCTTGCCTCCACTACATAACTTGCTAGTCTATTCCACTTCCTGACGACGCTATGACTGAAGAAATACTTCCTAACATCTCTGTGACTCGTCTGAGTCTTCAGTTTCCAATTGTGACCCCTTGTTTCTGTGTTCCCTCTCTGGAACATCCTGTCTTTGTCCACCTTATCTATTCCACGCAGTATTATGTATGTTGTTATCATGTCTCCCCTGACCCTCCTGTCCTCTAGTGTCGTCAGGCCGATTTCCCTCAACCTTTCTTAATAGGACATTCCCCTGAGCTCCTTGTTGCAAACCTCTGTACTGTCTCTAATTTCTTGACGTGCTTGACCAGGTGTGGGTTCCAAACTGGTGCTGCATATTCCAGTATGGGCCTGACGTACACTGTGCACAGACTCTTGAACGATTCCTTACTGAAATATCGGAATGCTATTCTCAGGTTTGCCAGGCGCCCATATACTGCAGCAGTTATCTGGTTGACGTGTGCTTCCGGAGACGTGTTCGGTATTATGCTCACCCCAAGATCTTTCTCCTTGAGTGAGGTTTGCAGTCTTTGGCCGCCTAGACTATACTGTGTCTGCGGTCTTCTTTGCCCTTCCCCGATCATCATGACTTTGCATTTGGCAAGGTTATATTCAAGGAGCCATTTGCTGGACCAGGCTTGTAGCCTGTCCAGGTCACTTAGTAGTCCTGCCTGATCCTCGACCGATTTGATTCTCCTTATTAACTTCACATCATCTGCAAACTAGGACACTTCTGAGTCTATCCCTTCCGTTATGTCATTCACATAGTATACCAAAAACAGCACAGGTCCTAGGACTGACCCCTGTGGGACCCTGCTTGTCACAGGCGTCCACTCTGACACGTCGTCACGTACCATGACTCGTTGTTGCCTCCCTGTCAGGTATTCTCTGATCCATTGCAGTGCCTTTCTTGTTATGTTTGCCTGATCCTCTAGCTTTTCCATTAACCTCTTGTGAGGAACCGTGTCAAAGGCCTTTTTTGCATTCCAAGAAAATGCAGTCTATCCACCTCCTTCTCTCTTGTCTTACTTCTGTCACCTTGTCATAAAACTCCAGTAGGTTTGTGACACAGTATTTTCCTTCCCTGAAACCGTGCTGGTTGTCGATTATACACTTGTTTCTTTCCAGGTGCTCCACCACACTCCTCCTGATTATCTTCTCCATGACTTTGCATACTATACACGTTAGTGACACAGGTCTGTAGTTTAATGCCTTTTGTCTGTCTCCTTTTTTAAAAATTGGGACTATGTTTGCCATCTTCCATACCTCAGGGAGTTGCCAAGTTTCAATGGATGTATTGAAAATCTTTGTTAGTGGTACACACAGCATCTCTGCTCCCTCTCTAAGGACCCACAGAGAGATGTCTGGTCCCACCGTCTTCGAGGTATCGAGTTCACATAGCAGCTTCTTCACCTCCTCCTCGGTTATGTGTACCACATTCAGCACTTGTTGGTGTACCTCCCTGTTCTGATTTCCTGGAGTCCTACCAGTTTCCACTGTAAATACTTCTTTAAATCTCGTGTTGAGCTCCTCACATACCTCTTGGTTGTTTCTTGTGAACTCCCAATCATCCTTCCTCAGTCTGATAACCTGGTCCTTGACCGCTGTTTTCCTCCTGATGTGGCTATACAACGGCTTCGGATCAGACTTGACTTTCGATGCTATGTCATTTTCATATTGTCGCTGAGCCTCACTTCTTATCTGTGCATATTCATTTCTGGCTCTTTGGCTGATCTCTTTATTTTCCTGGGTCCTTTGTCTTCTGTACCTTTTCCATTCTCTAGTACACCTAGTTTTTTGCCTCCCTACACCTTTGAGTGAACCAAGGACTCGTTTTGGTCTTCCCATTATTTCCGTTTCCCTTGGGAACAAACCTCTCCTCTGGTTCCTTGCACTTTGTTGTCACATATTCTATCAATTCTTTTACTGGCTTTCCTGCCAGTTCTCTCTCCCACTGAACGTCTTACAGGAAGTTCTTCATGCCTGTGCAGTCCCCCATTTTGTAGTTTGTTTTTTTTCCATCCTGTTCCTGCTACTTTCTCCACTTGTAGCTCAACTATGTAGTCAAAGCACAGAATCAGATGATCACTAGCTCCTAGGAGCCTTTCATACATGATATCCTCGATGTCCGAACTACTCAAGGTGAATACAAGGTCCAGTCTTGCTGGATCATCCTCCCCTCTCTCTCTCTCTCTGGTAGTGTCTCTAACATGTTGATGCATGAGGTTTTCCAGCACCACATCCATAATATTGGCTCTCCATGTTTCAGGATCCCCATGGGGCTCCAGGTTTTCCCAGTCAATCTCCTCGTGATTGAAATCACCCATAACTAGTAACTTTGCTCCCCCCGCCCTTTTGGACTCTTCTGGCCACCTCGGCTAGTGTGTCGACCATTGCTCTGTTGTTCTCATCGTATTCTTCTCTTGGCCTCCTGTAGTTCTGTGGCAGGTTCTACATTACTGCAATTACCACCTTATGGCCCTCAGACTGGATTGTTCCTACTAAGTAGTCCCTTTTGCCCATGCCATCCATTCCTTCCATTTTCTCAAATCCCCTCTGGTTTTTAATGAGCCGTGCAATACCTCCTCCCCCTCTCCTCCTGGAGTTTGCCTGGAGAGAGTTCCGGGGGTCAATGGCCCGGTCTGTGACCAGGCCTCATGGGGGATCAGGGCCTGATCAACCAGGTTGTTACTGCTGACTGCACACAATCCATCGTATGAGCCACAGCCCGGCTGGTCAGGTACCGACTTTAGGTGCTTGTCCAGTGCCTGTTTGAAGACAGCCAGGGGTCTATTGATAATCCCCCTTATGTATGCTGGAAAGCAGTTGAACAGTCTTGGGCCCCTGACACTTATTGTGTTGTCTGTTAACGTGCTAGTGACACCCCTGCTTTTCATTGGGGGGGTGTTGCATCGTCTGCCGAGTCTTTTGCTTTCGTAGAGAGTGATTTTCGTGTGCAAGTTCGGTACTAGTCCCTCTACGATTTTCCGGATTTGATATCAGGGTGGAAAGATTGCATCTGTTATCATCCTGGT